ATCCCAACGAAAAAAAAAACATTCGTACTATAAAAGAATGAGAAGGTTATGTGGTCGGTTCATTTTTTTTCTTGGCGCCGACCATAAATAACTTATATAAAACAAATGTTACAAACTAAATAAGCAAAATGATACCGAAAAGATTATTAATATGAACTGTCCGTTCGATAAAGAGGCAAAACAATGTGCCGCTTAAGTCTAGTAATTCATTTTTTGTATTGTAATTTATCAGTATCTCATCTTGATTCGTTTAGCTATATAAAAAGCCATTTTTTCTTTTTGTTTTGTTAAACGTATGTGTAAGAAATACGATTGCAGCCATAGCAATGCTTGATAATTGTTCATTTAATCTCCGCGCTGAGAACATCGTCTATTTGTATGATCATGTGCTAATGCACTAAAATAACACTATACCGAAACCTAATCACCATTAACCATATTCAACAGAAGATGACATTCGTTGGTTTTCACCGTGTCTCCGATTTGTTTGAATATCGTTGCGGCTTGTGTCAAAAGGCCGGCACGTTCGATGCCCACTTGAGCTTGCAAATATTTGCAAACGAGCATCATTGATCGGGCTCGTTCTCGTTCACCGCACACATACAAATCGTCTGAGTTACCCTTGCTTCCGACCACACAAATTAAATTTGGTTTCGACTGACGCATTATCATTATGTTTCGATCAAGCAGCCGATGCGTTTCCAATGGAAGTGCATTGGCCATCAAGCGGTAAATGGCTTCGTATAAATTGATACGTGACATGCCCATTTGCTTTGTACCAAAGATCAAGTACAAATTGGTCAGGTCCAATTGATACAATTCCAATTGTGAGAAGTGTGACGATGGTTCGCTAATCCCTTCGTCATCGCAATCATTTGATGTTGCTGCGGCCGCAGTGCTCTGCATTATTTCCCAGCATTCGCTTCGAATTTCAAGCAACCAATCGCAGGTTAGAATCTGAATGAGCCGGATCAATGTGCTGGGTTGGATGTTCTGCGAACGATTGTATGTCAAATAGTTTTGTAGCAAGCAACTAGCGATATTGCAGCGATTTAAAATGATGCGCATTTTATCGGGTGTCAAGGTACCGCCTCTGGTTCGATGCACAAATTCACGCTTCGCCAAATAAATCACGTATAATGATTTCAACAGCGCCTTCTCCTTGCTCTTCGTTCCGCGCAAACGTTGCGGAAATTCATCGATCGCTCCATACAGCTGGTCACATTTTTCCAAATCGTTCATAGTCCAATTGGCTGCAACGGTGATAATTCGTGCTATCCACGAAATCGATACAAAATCATTGTCATTGTCCGTGTGAATTGCGTCCTCGAGATGCTTTGTTAGCATTAGCACCTTCATCATTTGTGTCTGTTCGATCGGTTGGTTTCGGTCATCGGTTTGTTTTGCAACCGGACACGATTCGGTATTTCTTCGAAAGCCCAACAAATTTTCCAACGATTTGATGATCACATATTTACAATATCGCTGCTGAATCTGTGTAATTGGCTCGTAGCTCACATTGCTAGCTCCGATGACGTCCAGTTGATTGTCACGTTCAAAATCAACGTTGCCAAAGCTGGTTTTCAATTTTGACACAAATTTATAGCCATGCTCACTGAAAATCCAATCGAATTGGCGATTCTGTGTGGTTCCAAGCAAATGGAAAAACTTTGCCTTTCGCAAGTAGTATGATGATATGAGGCGTAGTTTATTCATTGACTTCAGACGCAGGGCGACCGTCAAATACACTTCAACCATCTCTTTGGTATACATCAGCGGTTCAGCTGTTTCGCACATATTCACGGCATACAATGTCACCATCATACCGTAAATCTGACGACGTTTGCTGTTCTTCTCTTCGCTCGATTTCTTCTGCAGATCCATCAAATCGATTTGATTCAATCGATGCAAAATCCATCCAATCTCTTTGTATGTGCTCATCGCTTGCGTACGCGTATCCTTTGAGCAAAACAGGCCGCCAACTTTGTGTGACAACCAGGTGCCAAATGGCAAACGAAATATGAACATTCGAATCGCTTGCCATGTGGTATAGGTTAAACACTCAAACCAGGTGATGCTTGTGCACGATGGCAAACAAATGCCATACTGTTGCAATTGTCGCATGTATCCGAGTGTAGCTGCGGCCAAATTACCATTTTTGAAGTGGGCTTCGGTAGCCTGTGTCAATTTCACCATGTCATTCGATTTGCAATGTGTACGATCAACAATTGGTTCACCGTAAACCAACAATTTTATCAAACATGCCATAACAATGAGAAAATTCACCACAGACACTGCCAAATTTTTCCAATTGAAGAACATTGTGTATGGCTGTAAAATGAAAAACGAAAATGAAAGTCAATCCAGTTGTCTTTGATTTGTTTTTTTTTTCTTCTTCAATCGAATCATCAGAAGAGAACTCATCACTTACGTCATCAATCATATTGGAGAGAATGGCACGACGTGCCATTTCCATGTTATAATTGCCATCGGCCAAATCAATGTTCGGACGTTGATCGTTAAGAATGAGCGAACCGAAACTATTTAAACTTACAACGGCAAACATAAAAATACATAATGCGAATTTGGAATGGGGGCTTAGGCCGCGTTGAATGAAAACCACTTTGTGATCAGTCTCGGTTTTCGGTGTAATTAATGGATCGGAATTGTTCATTTGTGTTGTTGGTTCGGACATTATTTGTGGCATTGGCGAGCTGGAATTCGATATGGGCGGTGATAACGGCGAACCAGCATCGGATATTGCTTTCATGCCAAGCATTTGACGTAATCGCTGATTTTCCACTTTTAATTCAACATTTTCAATTTCCAACGAACGCAGCTTATCGATTGATTTCTGTTAAAAGTAACAAAGAAACAGATAAATATTTTAATACGAACCGTGAAAGTAAACAAACACACCGTAGAGGCGAACTCACCTTTAATATGCCCGATTTATTCATTTTTGCATTGGCTGCACTAGTTCCGGCGGTCACTAAATTTTTCAGCTCGGTGATTTTGTCATTCTGAAGAGAGAAAGAAAGACATTGTAAAATAGTTTGTGATGGAAATTTGAATGGCATGGGAAATACATACGATAGATGTTCTGTAACGTCGTTCAATAATGTTGTGCCCAGATTTTTTGCTAGGTTTTACGGTCTGCGGTGGTGTGTTGGTTGTCGATTTAACTGTTAATTTGGTTGGCTGTAGCGCGACCGTTGTCATATTTGTTGTTTTGGGCGTTGTGATGGGTGGTGGTGGTGGCGGTTGTTGTTGTTGTTGTTGTATGATGCTTGTGACGGGTACGACTGGAATTTTGGTTAGAATTCCGGTGGTTCCATTGACAATCGTATGTACAGGTGTTTGATTTGCATTTGTGACCACAAACTGTTGTCCATTCACCGTTTGCAATGTGAAAATTTGCTGTGTGTTCGATTGGGTGTGAAACTTGATGGGCTCCTGTTTCACGACAATTTTCGGTTGTGACAACACAAATTGTGGCTGTTGAATTTGTGTAAAGGTCTGTTGTGTGGTGGCAAATACTGCCGGTCGTGACACTTCAATCGGTTCAATTGCTGTCGTCACATTGATGTTGGCATTGTGATTGCTTATATTTTTGGAGCCGTACACAAAATGGCTCGGTGACTTTGGTTCCTCTTCAACATGCTCCTGCTTTATCAGTTCAGTTTTGATTTGAGGCACTTCTAACATCGCCTGATCACTGAATGTATCCAATCTTGATCCCAAATCATCGTATGATGAACTCGATCGGCCACTGTCTTCCGATGACACCGAGTTCATGTCAAATCCAAGCGCATTGCAATTCACATCGTTCATTAATTCATCGAAAATATTCTGTGGAATTTCTTCGTCGAGTAAATTACAAAACGGATCATTATTAAAATGACTGAATGACTCTAGATTTTCCGAAAATTCCATGTTGACACTATGGGCCGTATAGTCGTAGTCGTCTTTGTTTTTTTTTATATATATACGAGAGAGAGAAAAAAAACGAAGGAAAAAAAAATTCACAGTGCACTCGTCAAGTATATCTCGCAATACGAATTATGTGCGCTGACAAACAGTGTGTTAATTTGACTTTCAGGCAAAGCAATAGCAATTTTTTTTTCTTACACTTTTATTTTCTCGTTCAACACAAATTGCGTCACTTCTGATAATCGTCGTCGTTTTGCACTCGTACTAACAACATAAAAATAATATATTTCTCCCTTATTCACACATTGATTCGATTTGTCTTGTTAGAAATGTTCCAAATACGATCCATCTTGGAATAATTATGCGTTTCGTTTTTATTTTCTTTTTTAATTTTATTTATTTTTTCCTTTTGATTCGGGCCCCCTAATTTTCGTCTATCGTCTCTTTCTCTTTCTCCGTTCGTTCTGTTTGTATATTTTAAAACCATCCGCAATATGCAATTTTTATCAATCACGGCAAAACTGGTTTCTGCCCAAATATGTGTTAGAAAGATGGATTTGGTGTGTTATTTATTTTGCCAATCTATTTTCACTCTGTGCATTTCGCGGCGTGCTTCTGCGTAATTTCTTTTCTTTGTAGGCACAAACGTCAAACGCCTTCGAGCTACTACTGCAATCGTTATGAGATATTTCTCATTTCAGATTAAAAACCAACAAATATTCGATGACGCACTTCATGTCATGCACCTCGGAATCTCATGAAATTTGCGAACAGCATAAACATTTCGTTTAAACAATGCTAAATTAAGTATGATTTTTTCGAAAATTAAATACAAAGTGATTTCAGCAAGTATACGTCGTATTCACGCCCGTGAATTATTGTTGTATCACTCATTCGCATTGTCACATATACAATAACACACACATATTCATTTGACAGCTCGAAAATTTGACAGCACATCACTCTGTGCACGCAACAAAGGGAGTACAAGTAGAGAGATACATTTGTACAACTTACATGTGGGCAACAAATGCAAGAAAGTTGCAATAAGACCTACTACAACTGTGAATTGATTTAGGCATACGGAACCGACTACTTGAAGAAGAAGAAAAAAACAACAAAATCTAAGGTAAATACCATTTAATCGTTTGATTTTGAAGCCATTACCCTCCCTAGGTATTCAAATTTATCTTCATTTTGTCACGTTGAAATGAAAGTGATGTGAATGTTATCTAAATTATTCAATACAGTCGAATTTCATTTGGTTGCGGCGCTCAGTTTATATTTAGCTGTGTGTAGTCAATTTCGAATTTATTTCACAATTACAATGTTTTATTGCTATTTGTCGATCGAACGACGATAATGATTTTTTAAATAACACACACGCATATTTTTCATTCAATTCAACCAATTTTGATAATATGCATCTCAAACTCTTTTCAATATTTAGTGCAACAACAATTTTATACTTGTTTCATAAATACTTTATTCGTAAGTTGCAAGCTCAACTTTGCCGAACCAATTGTTTACTTTAAAGTGAAATGTTTTTTTTTGATCGTGTTCTAGGAAAAATGGCATCGAAAGAAAAAACTACTAGTGCATCTGATGGTCAACAACAGCAACAGCAACCTGTTGTGGCTGATCGTGACAAGGTGAAAAATGAGCGTGAAGCACGTCGTTTGGCAAAATTGGCTTCTAAGCAAAAGGTACAAGATAAAAGTAGAAATTTACCGAATGCCGATGAGAAAAAAGCTGAAATGAAACCGGATACAAAAGCTACGAATCAATCATCGGCGTCTCGAAAAGGTGATTCCGTTGCATCCGATCAAAATACTCATCGAAAAACGCAGAAGCATGGGAAGCCCAATGAAAAGAAAGAATCCAAACCGGTCGAAACAATAGCAAATGATCTAAATAAACTGAAAATTAGCAATGAAACAAGTCAACCAGCAGTAAGTGACATTGCCGTTGAAAAATCAGAAAAGAAACAACTATCGAAAGCCGAACGTCGGGCAATTCAAGAAGCACAACGAGCCGCCAAAGCGGCAAAAACTACCGAGAAATCAGCTTCAAAAACGTCGACGAAAAAAGAAAGTCCAGAGCCAAAGGCGGGTCCAAGCACAGGTGCAAAGCCAAAACACGAAAATACTCCATCGACATCGAGAGAAGCGAGTGCTCGAAAGCCAACGCCAGTGAAAAAATCTCAACAGCATCGAGTCAAATTATTTAATCATTTGTACGCAGACATATCACCCGCTAATCTGCTCAATTCGAGCACCATTCATCCGGCAATCGTTCGACTCGGTGTACAATATTCGAGTGGCATTGTAAAGGGTTGCAATGCACGTGGATTGGCATTCATGAGCGCCATCAAAGAAGTGATTGCCGAATATCAAACACCGTTACAGAAGGAATTCTCCCGTAGCTTGGAAGATGTCATCAAAACCTGTGGCAATTATTTACAGCAATGTCGACCGTTGGCTGTTTCGGTTACAAACGCTATGAAATTCATTCAATTCCATTTGCGTCAATTGCCCAAAACTGAAAGTGATGCAAAGGTAATTTCCTCAACATTCAATGAAATAGCCCTGAGAAAACTAGTCTAAATTACGCAATTATTCCGTTTTATTATGCAATAGCAAAAGGCGACCCTATTAGAATCTATCGAAACCTATGTACGGGATCAAATTGATAAAGCGGCCGAAGCGATTAGTTATACGGTTCAAGAGAAAATTTCCGATGGTGATGTTATTTTAACATTCGGTTGTTCGTCGGTCATTCTGAATATTTTGAATGAAGCGAAAAAAAATAAAGATTTCCGGGTCATTGTTGTCGATGCACGACCATTGCATGAGGGCAGAGAGATGCTTCGTCGACTCGTTGCCAAAAATATCAAATGCACCTGTGTCTTGATTAATGCGGCCGGTTTTATAATGCCAGAGGTTAGTGACTAAAGTTATTATTATTTTGATTTTTCAACAATATTCCCACAGAACAATCAAATTCCGTAGCCAACACTAAACGATGTCAATCTATTTTATAGGTAACAAAAGTTTTACTAGGAGCACATGCACTATTAGCAAATGGATATGTAATGTCAAGAGCTGGTACAGCTCAAATTGCCTTAATAGCCAAGTCATACAATGTGCCGGTGCTTGTGTGCTGCGAAACGCATAAGTTTAGTGAACGAGTTCAAACGGACGCATTTGTTTATAATGAAATTGGTGAGTGTAATTTTAGAATCGGATGTTTACTGTTCGGCTACAGTCAGAGCACACAAATTATTGTTTACATACAAATTCCATGGGATTTATTTTCAGGTAATCCTTATGACGTAGTTAAATCAAATGAAAATAATTCGCCACTTGCTAATTGGGAATCGGTACCGAATTTGACACCATTGAATCTGTACTATGATGTTACACCGCCCGAACTGGTATCGGCCGTTGTCACAGAAGTTGCAATTCTTCCATGTACAAGTATGTTAAATGAGCGTCGATTTTTTTTTCTCATTTATTTTATTCAAACGTTACCCCCTAACGTTCGTTTTATTTCAGGCGTTCCCGTAATTTTACGTATAAAACCATCGGAAATTGGATACTAATCGCATCGCACTCATCTCTTTATTGTATTTTGTTACATAATTTATCACTAATAAACATCATGAGTTGGACTGAGTAACAAAACAAGAAAATCTTCCCACAACTCTTCCTCTCTTTCTCTCCGTCTCTGTCATTTTTATCGATTCGTTAATAGCGTGTAAAACAAATATCGAAGTTGCAGATCAACAAAAATTGAATGAAATAATTAAAGCAAAAATCAATACAGCCACATTCCAGTCATGCGAGATAAGATAAGGTGGATTTCAATGGGCGAAAACTGAATAAACAAAATAATCGTCGGCGTGTAGCTAAAATTAGGCAAACAAGAATCATTTGAGAATTATGTGTCGGCATGACAATCAATTTGCAAACAGACATTTAGATGTAATCGCAACTCATGACCGAAGTCGAACATAAATAATTGAGACTTTAAAACGAAGTAACGAAAGTTCAATAAATTTTTAATTTAGCTTAACGTTCTGTCCTAATCGCAATGGCAGACTATAAACAGCATGAAACACGGCACGTGAAAAAACATCAAGAGGGAAACACAGAAATACATTCATTAATTTCGTGTTTGCGTTTTTTTTTCTTCTAATAATAAAGGTTAAACGAACATGTTTGATGATTGCGTCACTAGATGTCGACATGAGGTTCTGTTAATTTTTATTAGATTTAACCTCATAGCCCCGATATTTTGTGTGTGTTTTCATTTGAATGAAATTTCCCAGAATACGGAAAAAAGGTCAAAATTTTCGGGTTTTTCTTCTTTCTTTATTTCGTCTTTTTTTCTTCTTATTGCGAATTGACTTTATAATTTGTAAATAATACATAAAAATTGCGTTAAACGACTGTCGTGTACTGCGGCGCCTCGGATACCTCTTGCAGAGATGAGATTTTTGTTGGATGATGTTTTATTGACGGACATCTTAACGGATGATCAACATAGTCATTTTTGTTCGTCTGCCAAAACATCCATGATGTTCGGGCTGATGGCGACGTTGGCACAGATGTATACATGGCATTCTAAACATGGATAGAAAATAGAGCATGATTAAACACCGATAAAGGCCATTGCCTTCCGTATGAATTGAATTGCTTCTTTCCACTTTGAATGGCTGTACGTGTGTGTGTGCATGTGCATGCACATTTATTGTGATTTTTTACCTTATTTTGTTTTTGCATGATGTACGGTCGCGTGCTGTGCTCCCTTTGACGTTTGGCCTGCTTTTGCTGCCACACAATAAACAGAGATAATAAAATTGTAACGACGACTAATGTGCTACATAAGCAAATCAACAGGATTCGATTATTTTTGACGGTAAGTGTGACTGGAATTGTGCCAAAAATTAGCAGCAGCACGATAATTATCGATGCGAATACACCCAAGCGATAGCATCCATAGCGGCGCTCTGCACAATGAAAACAAAAAAGAAACAATGATTTTTTTTTCACATGTAAAGCAAAGTGAGTGTAATTAGAATGGGATCGATTGTAAAAAAAACGAAACGAACAAAAAAAAAGTTGTTGAAATACAACAACGTGCAAATTAAAAAGCAATATTTGTGGAATTTATACTACAAATGCAAAGCCTTGTGCACACATATTTCAATCGGAATGAAACGAAAAGCAAATGTGAATTATTAAAACAATACCGTTCGTTGTTTATTCTTTATTTGAGAATCGGTCTTTTGAGTTAGGTTTTTTTTGCAACTTTTCGAATTAATTTCGCTAATCTTGCAATAGAATCTAACGCATTGATCATGGTGGCAAATGTAAGAATGCCACCTTCTTTTTTGTTTTAAACAAACATCTGTTCAATGGCTTAAACATTTGGGTCAAGAATTAGAATTTCAAATCAAACTGTCGTCAATATATTTCTTTTTATTTGATTTTTTTTCTTCTTCTTTTTCAATTTTTGTATAAATTACGGAGAATTCCAAGAAAAATGACATTATATCCAGATATTGTATATTTTTATTTCTGATTTATTACAATGAATTGACGAAACTTCTGTTCGTTGTCAACGAAGAAGAAGGGAAAAAAGCCGCCGAAAATAAAAAATACAGTCGAGGTAAGTGTATTGTATGTGGTATAATGCGATGGAAAGCAACAAGTTGCCTTTTGATTACGCATTTTAGCATACCTGGAGAGTGGATTTCTCAAGGTTAAGTAAGGTTTATTTCTGTTTACGCTCTACCTATTCATCGAGGAACAACACATGAAACACACACAGGAAAAAAAACGAGTCGCAACACATAAGGCGCATTTATGGCAACACATTTACTTTGATTCTGACTCTAAACAGTTCAGTCAATATCGACATATCACACAATTTGCATAGCACCCAAATTGTGATAGGGCCATTACAAATTTCTATTTTTACATCGACATCCACGTCAAATGCATTATTGAATCAATAAAATGCCGTTGTATTTATGAATATCTGTGTATCACATCATCGCTTGCCGTTAGAGGGAACTTTTTTTCAAATCAAAATAAATAATGCTTATAATGTGTTTTTAATCGTTGTAAAAGGTTATCAGTTTTCCAACAGCCGATAGTTTAGTTTCATGAAGGAGGTTTTCGACATTGGATCGAAAACAAACAAAACAGACAAACAAAAACACACGGTATATAGTGGTGTGTGCGGTCATAAATAATGTATTTTTCAGTCAATATTTTCCATTAAATGCAACAAATTCGAAAACAAAAACATGCGAAATTAATTGAATAATGGTCAAATGCCAAATTATTTATACAAAAACGAACAATAATAAATTCAATTGTAAGAATTTTTCGCTTTGCTCTCTCTCTCTGATTTTTAATTTATGTTTCTTGCTTTGCACACGGCATTTTGCAAATGTACACATATTATAAGTTTTGTTTCGACGATTCTGATTGAAGGTGTGCTATTAATCGATCAAAGAAACTCGTGTAATTGTGCTAACAGCCGTTTCAATTTGTTTCATGCGCCGCATCACTTCAGCGTCAATCAATATGCTAGAGATATCAATCAGAAGGAAGTGTTTTTATATTCATCATTAATTTCTTACCGATTACAATGATTTCATTATCGCTACTGATGTATTTGGTGTTTTCATCGTCGTCATCGTTGTGTCTCGTCCATCTACAGCAATAGCAACCCCGAATATTTTCACCCAAGCACATTGTTCGTTATTTTTTTCAGTTCATTCTGTGATTTGTCCAAATTAATTTCGAGTCACATTCAAAACGAGATCGCGCAATGGATGTGTTGAACAGTTTCCAAAATGAGACGAAAAAAATATCAACGATGACGAAACCAGCACATCTGCACACTTGTTTTGACTCAATTCAATGTTTTAGTGTATTCATATTTGTCAATTTGGTCAATTTCAAAAAAATATTGCCCGCAACACATTTGAGTTGGTTTTGTGATTCAAATAATTTGCATAAACACACAAAATCACTTCAACAATGACACTTTTTATTCAACAATACTGAAATGAACATAGACAGAAATCGGAAGGAAACAATACTCCTCGGATTTCTGTTTCAAACTGCCCGTCCGTTTCTTTTTTTTACTAAATACCACCAGACGACAAAAAAAAGCAAGACAAAAGAAAGAACCAAACTTTGTTCCCGTTTGTACGGTGTGACAACTTGTTGGAGCTACGATTTTTCGTGAGCAAATTGTTGTATCAACAAGCTGTCTTCCAGTAAACGTGTTATAATGTTCTGAATGAAAGTAAAGAGACACAGAGCTGCGTCCGATTTGGTTACACAAATGACGCAATGTGCACGCACACTTGATTACGTTATTTTTACTTTTCTACTGGTTTTTTTTGTGTGTAGATTTTTGTTGCTGTTGGCTTCGTAGTAAAACTTATTCTTGTTCTTTCTTGATGATATCGCTTTTAACACAGTTCGTTAAGCAATCGGTTCACATTCACCACCAAATCCAAATAAAAAATGCTCTTCAACGGTTTCCCTAAGCTGTGTTCAATGTATCTCTGCGTTTCTCTTCTGTCACACGTCTATTGCTCTATCTTTATCTTACTCGGTTTTCTTTTATTTTCGGTTCGTTTACATAAATGTGGAAACGATATAAGTGATGACTGTTGTTGTTGTCGCTGCTGCTCGGTTGCTGTGTCTTGCTATTGTCAGCTACGCGATCAAACTGCTGTCAGCGTGCTCACGTAAACGCCTTTGCCTATTTTAGTCATTGTATTCAAAACTTAACACATGCCGATTGCATAAAATGTAAATATTTCCGAAAACAGGTATTCGTTTCACGATATAGTCACTCGAATCGAGCCCGCTGATTATTTCTCAATGGAGTGTCTTTGTGCGGTTGTTGCTCACATCGAGTTACGAACGGGCAATGCAGGCGATTTGTTCGACTTGAACAAAAACTTGACGCTACCCAGTCGTTGAAAGCTTGAAGCTTTTCAAGCTGATGTATCGCTTTGATAGATTCAGTCTTATTAATCAAGTGAATTAAATAATGAGATTTGAAATTTTTTGTCATTTTATTTACATGAAATTAACATTGATCCAAAATAAATATCTATTCCATCTGATTTCCGTTTATTTCTCACAGAGAATGTATTATATATTTTGCTTCAGTTCTGATACGATGATCAATCCGAAATTTGATGAATGGGAATCAATGCGTGTCCTTACTGGTCTCTATTATTCGAAAAAATGCCTGGCCTTCTGTTTCCGGAATCAGCTGAAATAACATACAAATAAATCATCATGTTGACGAAATCGATTTCAAGACTCACTCAGACGATTCGAAATACTACTGAATGACCGACAATCCACTGAATTTATTGCTTCGTATTCAGCATTTTTGTGGCTATACGTTTTATTCGTTTTTTTAAAAAATCTGCACGATTACTTACAATCATCGTCTTGGTTAACCAAATGGTTGATGCCACCGACACCTGGTCCAATATTCTGATTTCCGATTACACCTGGTGCAATAAGTGAGCATGGAAGCGTTCCAATACTGCCGATGGCAACGGCATCCTGACATCTCGCAGCGCAAACGCCGACCAAAATTGCAATCACGAAGAATTTCTGAAAATACACAATATTTAGTTGATTTCGAGATGAATTTTGCTTTTTCTATACGGTTTCCGAAAAATAATCACTCACTATCCACATATTTGTAAAATCGTTGTCTATTCCAATGGCTTCAACCAGAGACTATTGATGAACTTATATTTGGACTGGCTTTTATAACGATCCTAATCGATGACTTTCATTTGATTTTCATGAGATTTGGGGAAAAGTAGCTAAACACATTTCACGACATTTGGCAGTTACTTTCACTATTTTTCATCGTTTGGGGGTGGGAGGCTGGAGAAATTGAAAATTAGCTTTAAATTAATCAAAAAAAATTGATTTAACTTGAATTTATGCAAAAATTGCTGATGCGGTTGGTTTAAATTGCTTATTAGTTTCTCGAAGTGATTTAGAGAAAGAAGCGGACACAGATAGACAGACAGACAAAGTAATAATAAGAAATTTAGATGTTTGATCAGGTGACCTAAACTGATCTCGTGGCAAAGTCATTCAACTCGTCTTTGTAAATCAAGAAAATGTCTGTCACCCATGCATTGTGTTGATCGCTGAATCAACAAGTTTTTAACTATATTCTGATATTCCGCTATTTTCGAACAAAGCGATAAAAATACTCTTTTTTTCCAAATTGTTGAATATTTATGACGATGAAACGCCCAAACAGGGACAGTTAAAGTAGCAATTAATGTAAACAAAAAATCCAGTCATCGAAATAAATTTTCACTTTTATTATCATTTTGCAGCGGTATCTGTGCTAGACACACTTTGTTTACGTTGTTTGAGTTCATTGATTTAACCAAAATCGAGAGACAAATACAGAAAAGTTGCAGAAATTCATTTTCGGTGCTCGCACTCGTTCAATATGTCGTAGAGTTTACACAAAAAATTCTATGAAAAAGTTTCATTTTTTTTTCGTGTATGAGACTTTATTTCCACGGAGTAGTTTACTCGCTATATGAAAAATTCGAGTAGAATGATGTACCATGATGATGTCTAATTTCAAATAAATATGATCACGTGTAGGTTGTTGAATCGATTGAAGTATTGTATTCAAAAACAAACTCTTTAGAATTATTCAATTGACTCAAACCCGTTTATTTTTAAATAACTTCATATGTAACAGATTATTATCGAATGTCATTCCACTGGATGGCGCTAATAACGTCTTTGAACTATAGCAGTAAAAGTATTATTTTTTTCCTAAGTCTGATACAACAAATATTGATTACAAAGCCAAATAAAACCAGTTATAGAAGCAATTAATTCAAGCACAACATCCAGTCATCGAAAAAAAATCGCTTTGTCATTTACAAACCAATTCTCTGTTATGCGCAGTTTGTTCACGTTGTTCAATTTCGTTGATTACAACCAAAATCGACAACAAACACAACGGTTGATCTTTTGATCGATCCATTTGCGTTAACATTTTGCTGAGAATGGAAAGAAATATTGCTGCTGAAATTTATGTAAAATTTGGAGGAATTCACCTTAACAATTGAGTATGCTTCAAAATAAATAAGCTTTCGAAGCACGGATAAATTCCAAATCTTTTCAGAAAAATTAAACTGTTAATTGATAATGTGTAATTTATTGTAAAGGGATAAAATGAAGAAAAAAAATCCCTGTATTTTGGCTTGAATGTGCTCATATGAGCTGCATTGAGCGTAAGAGTGGTACGTTGCAACTTGACACTCTACGCGTGTCATGTTTTATAATTTGAAAATTGCAGCGACAATCGGAATGTGATGATTTTTCATGCTATAATTGGAAAAAATTGCTTTGGTTTTGATCTACACGATGTTGGTTTATTGATCGGTGTGCTTGATTTTTTGGGATCAACTTCACTGTTGGTCAATTTTATTGTGTGGACGTTTGCAGGAGGAGATGATGAATCTGAGCTCATTCGAACATTTTTCACCAAACTCATTACACCATTTTTGTGCTATACCAAAGCAAGTGCCACTTTAGTGACAATTAAGGTAGTTCCAATTGAATCAATCAAATTGATACGATTTAGTAGACTTTACTTCAAAAATGGACTATTTTTACATTTTTAGCACTACATGAAATGTAGAGCTACTAATCTGCTTTTTTTTCTAGATACTTTTTAAGTGTTGAAACAAATTATGGTGAATTTGAATTTTATGCTCGTATTTTTTATTGGCTGCTTACAAAAACGTCTATAAAATTGACAAAATCGTCTAATGAAATGACAAAAACGTCTATGACAAAACCATCTAAAAATGTAACAAAATCGTCTATTTTTTTTCAAAAACATGACAAAATCATCTATAATTTTGACAATTTTTTTTATGACAAAATCGTTGTGGAAATTGACAAAATCGTCTATATTCACAATGTCCGAAAAAATGACAAAAACATCTAAAAACCTCCAAAAACGTCTATGGACAAAACGCGTATCAAAAATGACAAAATCATCTAAATTCACAAGGCAAGCTTTTTTCTTAACAAATGTGCTATAAAAATGGACACAAAATATTTCTTTAATTAGAAAAAACACCACCTTATTTATTTTTGTGATATATTTTTTTGCTTCAAAATCGTTTCTATTATTACAAATTCGTATAATTGTATTTTTATAAGAAAATGTTTGTTCAAAATATCAATTCCCCATTTTTGCTCGACTGACACTCAGTGAATGGAGCACAGAACTTAATTCTTATTATTACTTCTATAAAGAAACGAATTTCGATCAATTGCTTTTTCTATCACAATACAAATTGACTGCTACATACGCTGGAGGGCTGGTGCGGATTTCTTTGGCCGCCCACGAGGTGGCTTCTTTGCCAATACTTGCGGGTTGCAATCGGCCGGAACTCCTGTTTGCTTACATAGGAGAGCTATCCCTACGATGTGTTTACATGTTACATTTTTCATAAAGAAAGGACAAGAACATGTAGAACGTTTCCAATCAACAAGTAAAACAACTTTATACACACGTTGGTGTACTTGATCGATATAAATGTCAAAATCGGTGATGCTCTCTACATTTTCATGGATGAAAATTGCTTGTTCGACTGCACTTATTCGATCTTCTTTGCTTCCTTGGCACGAAATCACATAGAAGACACCGTTGTCGCTTTTGAAGATTCTTCTCTTCGTTCCAGGATCTGTTGCAAATTCAACACCTTTTTGCCAATCCAACTTGGACAATTGTACTGATGTGTAGAAACATCTAACGGTGTGTACTCTTTTGATAGCTGAATTAAATCCTTCGTTGGGATTATTTGTGTCTTTGAATATAGACGATTTTGTCAATTTCCACAACGATTTTGTCATAAAAAAAATTGTCAGAATTATAGATGATTTTGTCACTTTTTTAGACGGTTTTGTAAAAAAAAGTAACAATTTTTCATTAGACGAAATTGTTTTTATTTTAGACGGTTTTGTCATTTTTTATAGACGAAATTGTATTTAACCTTATTTATTTAATTTAAACCAAAGGCAGTATATTTCAAAAAAGAAATAAAACCAAGATCTTGTAATTCATTTTGCAAATAAATATATTACTTCGAAGTTACTTTGATGAAATACATTTCATGTAGTGCGTCAAAAAATAGTTTGTTGTGAAACAACAAAATAGATTGAGTAACTAAAAACTCAAGAACGCAGAGCGGAGCGAATTGTTTTTTTTTGTGTTTCCATTCAAATTAGCGAGATTATGGCTGGGCTATATTATGGATTTTGGTCAATATAGTTTATCTCACATTTGTATTGATATGCATCGTCATTTTATTGGCCCATTGCCTGCGTTCCAATAAGGCTTTGGCATTGATTCTCGGTATATTCGGCAGGATGTTTATTTTTTTTCACAAAATTTAATTTTTTCCATCAATCGAATAAGTTGAATTCAATTTAAATTAGTGTGAAATTGCTCTTTCATTCCATTAGATTCAGTATTTTCTTTGTGCTACAGCAATACGGCTCCTTTTCCATTCAGTGGTCGATTCATTGTACGTGATGAAAACGGACGAGAAAACCATGAATGACTTCAAATTTGATTGATTTCAGTTGTTAAAATTGTTCGTCATTGATTTAAACATGCGATGAATTGAATAAAACTTTGTTAATTCTTCCACTGACTTGAATGCGTATTATTTAATTTGTAATAAATTATCAAAATGTCATTCAACTCAACGACGTCATTAATCACAGGGATCGCTTTTTAAATAAGATGAAATCCATAGGTGGTGGTGCTTTTTTCATGAGTAAGATGAATATCGACGCTAAAACGCCATACAGCGACAGTTATAGTTAATTACATGAAACATAAAATCGCCAGAAAGACATCACCGTACAACACATGTTTTCGCACAAGAGAAATTCCAATGGCGTTTGTTAGAGGACCTCAAAACAAACACTTCTGCATCATTAGAATGTCCGGAACCACGTCTAGATTTTTTTTTTATCGATTTCGGTAGTTCTTCTGGGAACCTGAAAAATCAGCGGAATTTTCTTACACTCAAAACATCGTTTTTTGCACATTTCTTGGCTGGTATTTATTGAAAATGATTAAAACGATTGAAACTACAATAATACATTGAATTCAACCTATCTGGTGAGAGCTATGAGGCAAAATGTCGAGAAAATAGTCTATTTTTCCAGTTTTTCGACCAAAGCTCGAACAGTATACATTTTTTTCACTTACTGTGTTCGGCAATATTGTAGCCAGAGTATAGCTGAGCAATACTCCTGAACATATTAACTCGAAAAATCAACATCCAATCCACTTTATTGGCTCAAAATCACTTTTCGCTATAAAACGGTATTTTTGTGCATTTTCGAAGTCCTGAAACTTCTCAACTGCTTAAAATAGAGCAATAGTGTCTGAAGAAACTTTTTAGTACTCCTCAAGAAATTTTCAGGCCAAGTACTAAAAAGTACTAAAAAGTACTAAAAGTGTACTAAAAAGTACTAAATTGTTTTAAACTTTGTTTTTTTTTTTGATGGCTCCGGTCAACTCTGGGTGATGAAAAACTATACTAACTCGTGTTAAATACTCCCTTTTTGACCGTAGTAAACACTAGTGTTTGGTACTTATCCGGAAAATTGAAGTTTCAATCAAAAAATGACCAGCATAATCCATTAAATTGTAACATCTTCGGACCATGACCTTTTCGATTTAAATTTCAATTTTTCAACTAAGTACCGGTCACAAATGTTTACTACGGTCCAAAACGGAGTATTTAACACCAGTTAGTAGAGTTTTTCATCACCCAGAGTTGACCGGAGGCATCCAAAGTGTTTAAAACAATTTAGTACTTTTTAGTACACTTTTAGTACTTTTTAGTACTTGGCCTGAAAATTTCTTGAGGAGTACTAAAAAGTTTTTTCAGGCAGTATTGCTCTATTTTAAGCAGTTGAGAAGTTTCAGGACTTCGAAAATGCACAAAAATACCGTTTTATAGCGAAAAGTGATTTTGAGCCAATAAAGTGGATTGGATGTTGAATTTTCGAGTTAATATGTTCAGGAGTATTGCTCAGCTATACTCTGGCTACAATATTGCCGAACACAGTAAGTGAAAAAAATGTATACTGCTCGAGCTTTGGTCGAAAAACTGGAAAAATAGACCATTTTCTCGACATTTTGCCTCATAGCTCTCACCAGATAGGTTGAATTCAATGTATTATTGTAGTTTCAATCGTTTCAATCATTTTCAATAAATACCAGCCAAGAAATGTGCAAAAACGATGTTTTGAGTGTAAGAAAATTCCGCTGATTTTTCAGGTTCCCAGAAGAACTACCGAAATCGATAAAAAAAAATCTAGACGTGGTTTCGAACAAACTAATGATGTAGAATTGGTTGTTTTGAGGTCCTCTAACAAACGCCATCGGAATTTCCCTTGTGCGAGAAAAAAAGTTGAAATTTGTCGAACGGTGCATTGAAATAAATTTTCACTTTTATTATCAATACTAAAAATATATAAATTACTAGTTGTTTGGCAACGAAACCGCTATTACACTTTATTCAAGTTTACAGTAGACAGAACCGGCAACAGAAATGTTGGGGTGATTGATTTTAATTTTTCCCGTAATGAGTTGTGCAGTAATTGAGGCAGTTGTTAAAATCGATGTAGATAAAGTGAGTGTGCAATGCATTCAAGGTGAACGAGACTTGATCGAGAAATCGCTTGTGGTTTGGTTTTAGAACATATGGGAAGCTCATCACATTCGATTTGCAGTGGACAATTTGAGAATGAGAGACAGTTTACACACTTTGACGTAATTCATATCATGTCAAACTCATTCAAAGACATTCAATCAATCAGATCAGACAGAAGCCACAATCCTGTTAATAATTTCTTAATTAAATTTTAACGCCATATTCACCTTGAATGCTTCAAATTGCACTCATCACGGAATTGGAAAAGCATTTATTTATCTCGTGATGCAATCTTCATACTTTGGTGCAACAAATTAAAATGAATGCTCATCTTTTTATGTGCATTTCAAACATAGAATTCAAATTGATTCATCAATTTATTGAAAAGTCATAAAAACTTCATTCAAACGAATTTTTTTGTGACGGGCAAGCGGATAAGATCATCCCCTGTAAATCAAATCTTGAACAGTTTAATTGTACTGCTTTCAACATTTTTATACGACATCTAACCTGTTCAAGTAGCATATTTGTTGTAAGCTGTGTTTGGCTGAGGGGGAATCCCATAATCAATTCTGTGTTGACTTTATTTACTAGAACAATAAATGCATATATGTCTCTGGTAATTAAAATATATAAGAATGCTAATTCGCTAATTTGAGACATTACCTGGAAATTTCTTACGCCACACTGCGAACGAATGCGCATCACACTATCTACACGACTGCAACTTTTTCCGACATGAATATGTGCAAAAAATATAACAAGACAAAAAAACCGGCGTTGCTCTTTTTTCTTTTACGATTTAGTGGTTCGTCGGGTTAAGCTTCATTTTGCCATGCGATTAAAGGATGAAATGATTTCAATAATTACTGTAATCTATTTAACTTATGCGGTTTTCATTTTAATATCACTCTTGGTTTTGGATCTGAATCTTCTGGATAATCAAGAGTAAAATGTAACGTAAATGCGCAGATGTTATTCTATAAATAAATTTGAGAAGAAAAAAAATTCTAAACCTGATCGCTTGATGGACGACTTTAATGAGTATTTAAAATGCGCTGTGTAAACGCCAATTTCCATCAGACGAAAACAATCCTTTGATACGTACACATCGCAGCAAACATGTTAAAAGTATATCAATATAAATATAATTTTCAAGTTTAATGTATTTTTTTGTCTCTATTCCAAATTTGGTGCTGTTATTGGAAAAATTAAATTTACCAATGAACAAATGTCCAACATATGTTTGTCTGATTTTATTGATATATCTAACGGATGTTCTACTTTTTCTCAAGATATTTTTAGTGTTGTGTTTAGTTCCCGCCATTGTCATTGGACAAGAAGATGCGGCTGCTGCTCAAGATCTGAATGCTGTCGAACCAGAAAATCCGCAAATTGGTGTCTATGGTATAGCCAATCCACAAGGAGGATACGGTGGTGGCTATGGTACTAATGTACATAATGATAGAGACCTTGAAGTAGCTGAATCAGCAAACCCACAATATGGTTACGGTGGATATGGTATGTATTGGAATATCAATGTTCTGTTGCTTTGACTTGTGTTGTGTAAGAAAAATACTCGAAACAAGAACACTCGAAATTCAAATTACATTTTTAAATGTGATAACGAAGTGAGATTCGAGGTTCTTTGTGAAATGATAAACGGTTCTTGAGTTGACTCTTTGATGTTTGCACGGTGGTCTACATGGGTTTTCAAATTAACAGTGATATTCATTTAGACAGTGCATAACCTGTTTAAATTATTTTGATTTTGTGTCTTGCGACATATTGCTCAAAAATACAAAACATAAACCGTTTTGAATGTAAATCCAGTTTTGAATGATCTTGTGTGACTTTTAAAAGTATTCCAATATTGAAGAAAAAGAAGAAGAAGAATAATGCGCAACAAAATCTGTTTTTTTTTCTTATTCTTTCCAAACAAAAAGGTGGAGGTAGAGGAGGAAGCTTTGGAGGAGGCTATGGAGGGTATGGTGGCTTTGGAGGCGGACGTAGAGGAGGTGACATGAAATTCCATTTACAAAATGATCACATTCACCATTTAATGAAAATAATTTATTATTTTTGTGAACATTTTGTGTTGAATCTAATCATTTCAATTTTCTTTCTTATTCCAGGTGGCTATGGTGGCTACGGTGGTTTCGGTATGCGTCATCTCCTTTCACATCAAACACTTGAACTTTTTTTAAAATTCATTTCGCATCCATCTTTTTTTATATAGGAGGAGGAAGAAGCTATGGTGGCTACGGAGGCCGCTAGTGACAACGCTAATTTTTCCGATTCAAAATGAAAATTACTCATCGAAATATTTCAACTCAATAACAAAAAGAAAATTTCGGCTGACGATGAAATGTAATGAAATTGAAATAAATAAAAGTCACTCGCAACTTATCCAACTTGTCATGTCATTTTTTTGTCCGGGATTCCCAAATACTCTGATAATTACGTTCTATTATTATATCAAATACATCTTTTTTTCTGCTGTCAACTGCTAGCTACATAATTTGTACTAATTGAGGTGGAGTCATAGATACAGCAGAATTACCCTAAAGTGTTTAAAATACGATGAAATTGAAGAGTGAAAAAAACCCAACCGTGAAAATAAACATAAATCGATCATCTCGCTGGAATTTTTTTTAATCGACAATGTCATTCTATGTAACCATGATGCATTACCCTTTCTCAAGCCACGTGCTTCAAGTGTAGCTGTGCCAAAGAAAAATATATCAATCTTGGCGTTGTATTCAATGTCAAGCGAATTTAACGAAGAGAAGTGCGCATCGCAAATAAATTGTATTGTACGCGTTTTGAAGATGCTTTTGAATGAGCGACGACAGAAAAAAAAACAAAAACAAGATTTCAAACAATGTCGTAAATCGCACCTTATTGTGCCGATGTATGAAGCGATGTGCATGTTTTAGTAACAACCAAATGTGTGTCGATGTCCGCTTACTGTCCACTTCTCACCGAAAATTTGGAACGCTCGACGCCGACAAAATCTTTGTTTATTTTAATAATTACCAAACCATGTTTTTTCTCTTTATTTGTGTGTATTCTTTTCAATATCGGGCGAAATAAATTGATTGTCAAAATTGAATACACTTTTAAGATTGATTTTTATTTTTGAATGGTAAAATGAAATTAAAAACTCGAAATGAAAATAAAAATGTGCAAATGACTCATCGTTTAATCGTCTCGTTATTGCATGCGGTCGTTTAGTTTACCGATAGTAATTGACATCAGAATATATCGATGTTCGTTCAGTTGTGCTGATCATTTATGATGATGATGAGTAGTGAAATGGGGAATCTCATGAATAGCAACCGACTTTATTAAATATTCTTGAAAACTTTTTTTTCTGTTTACATATCACTTACTCTCTTACTAACACATAGAATTTATTGAACTTTTGTGAATTCCCGCATCAGATGAATATGAATGATATGCGGAATTAAATGGAGGCATATAAAAGGACTTTGCAAATCGAGCTATTGATGCACAGCGATTTCAACGATCAGATAGAACACAATTTTCGTGCGTAGAAAAGGTGTTAATCGATAAAGTCAACCATGATTAAGGTTAAAAAAAAATCTTTGTTTCATCGCTAAATAAAGTGTTTACTGTTTTGCGACCAGTTCATGTTGTGATCGTCAAGTGTTTGCTGTTTTCACTTGTGGTGATGAGATTTAGTGGGAATATTCCGTAATAATGATTTTCTGTTATTTTTGCAGTTTGCATTCTTCCTCTTGTGCCTTGTTGCAATTTGCTCAAGTGCCGTCATCACATCGCCTGACGTCAAACAGCCCGAAGCCGAGCAGCTCGACCAAGTTGAAGAATTGGAGGGTGATGACTTAAGTACAGCCGAAACAGCCAATGCACAATTAATTATTGGATTTGGATCACCATTTGGCGGTTATGGATACGGTAGCGGTTATGGATACGGAGGCTATGGACGAGGTAAATCAAATTGAATCAATACAAAATATGTGCGCCGTTTGCGAGAATGAATATAATGATATTAAATACAGATTGAATCGTAGATTTGTCTTTTGTTCGTCAAATGTTTAGGTTCTTCTATTGAGTTGCGTGCATTCTTCTCATTTTTTAAACATGTTTTCTATTATGTGATTATCTTTGCAAAGTGTATATTTCAATATTGATACTTTTCATGGGAATCAGTGTTAGACCAACATCAGATTATTCAATCGTTCATCGAAACGTCCACAACCTATTTTCAACACATATATAATTCAAATAAGTTGACCCCATATGAAAAATGCAATTCGATTTTTATTTATTACTCTCTTTTCGAATACATTCAACTCACACAACATGCATAAAAATGCGCTAAAAACGAAAATTGAAATGAATTTTTCATCAAAAATATGAATTTTATGAGCATGAAAACGATATGACTATCTGAATTTACATGTTTGTTTACCATTTCGAATAAGATTTATCAACTTGATATTGGTAGAATGCTAAAGAAGAGAAGAAAATTTTCCATGGAATGATGAAATCAATCGATTTCTCATGTCGCAAGTGTAGAATAGTGTGAAGAATCTTTGATTTTATCTGTATCTGAGACTCATAATTTCATTTAACCGTTAAATTCTGAAGTTGAATTTATGTAAATGATGCAGCTATTACAAATCGTAGCAACGTATTTGTCGTGACAAGGTTTGTGCTAATTGATTTTACATTGACCTAGGTTATCATCACCATCGGCATCATCATCATCATCACGGTGGATATGGCGGATACGGTGGATACGGTGGATATGGCGGATACGGTAAAACCTAACATAATATTGTTTATTTTCAAAATTTAGAACGAAAATAAAATAAACATTTAGAAACTCCCTAGACAAGTTCAAATCGTTCAACATTGAAACATAATTGCTTGGAATCGTTTGTTTCATATGTTCAGTGAAATAATGATTTTTCCGACTCATTGTATTTAAATTTTTTCAATTATTAAATGTAATAATTTGTTGTTATTTTTAATTCATAGGTTACGGTGGCTATGGCCGTGGGTATGGATACTACGGTTAGTGATGATTGATATTAAAGGATCATTAGACCGCATTTCCGATGAAATTTTAGTCTCGATTTTGTATATTTTTATTTGACCAAAATTAAATAAAAGCCATAGAATGTTCAAAAAGAATATATGAATGGGCAAGCGGAATAATGAAACGTAATTCTGTTTTTAAATGAAGTGCCTCTGAGAAAAATTTTCAGTAAAAAAGCCCCACAAA